ATGCTTTTACTTGCATGTAAGATCCTTTGCATAAATTTCATGTCAAAAATAATTATCAATAATGGCTAAATTATTACTCTGTATTTTTTTAGTTTTGGTCTCGAGCTCTAGGCGTACCATCACATTTTTTGGCCACATTTAAAATTCAACAAAAAAGTTGCGAAATTTGACATGGATGTTTTTACTTGCACGTAAAAGCCTTTGCAAAGGTTTCATGTCAAAAAAACTTGTCAATAATGTCTATATTAATATTTTTTTAGTTTTGGCCTCTAGCTCTAGAGGTAATATCACATTTTTTGGGAAAATTTTAAATTTATCAAAAAACTTGCGAAATTCAACATGGATGTTTTTACTTGCATGTAAAATCTTTTGCAAAAATTTTATGTCAAAAAGACTTGTCAATAATGTTTATATTAATTTTTTTTTGTTTCGGCCTCGAGCTCAAGGGGTACCATTACATTTTTTGGAAAAATTTTAAATTTATCAAAAAAGTAGCGAAATTCGACATGGATGCTTTTACTTGCACGTAAAATCTTTTGCAAAAGTTTCATGTCAAAAAGACTTATCAATAATGTCTATATTAATATTTTTTAGTTTTGATCTCGAGCTCTAGGGGTACTAACACATTTTTTGGACTAATTTTAAATTCATCAAAAAAGTTGTGAAATTTGACATGAATCTTTTTACTTGCACGTAAAAACCTTTGCAAAAGTTTCATGTTAGAAAGATTGGTCAATAATGTCTATATTAATATATTTTTTAGTTTTGGCCTCTAGCTCTAGGGGTATCATCACATTTTTTGGATAAATTTTAAATTAATAAAAATGTTGCTAAATTTGACATGGATGTTATTATTTGCATGCAAAATCCTTTGCAAAAGTTTTATGTCAAAAAGACTTGTCAATAATGTTTAAATTATTATTTTTTTAGTTTTAGTCTCGAGCTTTAGGAGTACCATCACATATTTTGGGCAAATTTTGAATTCAAATAAAAAGTAGCGAAATTTGACTCGGATGTTTTTACTTGCACGTAAAATCCTTGGCAAAAGTTTCATGTCAGAAAGACTTGTCAATATTAATATTTTTTGTAGTTTTGGCTTCGACCTCTAAGGGTACCATAACAGTTTTTGGACAAATATTAAATTAATAAAAAGAGTTACGAAATTTTACATGGATGTTTTACTATCATGTAAAATCTTTTTCAAAAGTTTCATGTCAAAAAGAGTTGTCAATAATATATATATTAATTTTTTTTAGTTTTGGCCTCGAGTTCTAGAGGTACAATCACATTTTTGGACAAATTTTAAATTCAACAAAAAAGTAGCAAAATTTGACATGCATCTTTTTACTTGCACATAAAATCCTTTGCAAAAGTTTCATGCTAAAAAGATTTGTCAATAATGTCTATATTAATAATTTTTTTAGTTTTGGCCTCGAACTCTAGGCGTACCATCATATTTTTTGGACAAATTTTAAATTAATAAAAAATATTGTGAAATTTGACATGGGTAATTTTACTTGCATGTAAGATCCTTTGCAAACCTTTCACGTCAAAAAAACTTGTCAATAATGTCTACATTATTATTTTTTTAGTTTTGGTTTCGAGCTTTAGGGGTATCATCACATTTTTTGGCCAAATTTTAAACTAATACAAAATGTTGTAAAATTTGACATGGATGTTTTAACTTGCATGTAAATATCTTTGCAAAAGTTTATGTCCAAAAGACGTGTCAATAATGTCTAAATTATTATTTTTTAGTTTTGACCTCGAGCTCTAGGGGTACCATCACATTTTTGGACAAATTTTAAATTTATCAAAAAATTTGTGAAATTCGACATGGATGCTTTTACTTGCATGTAAGATCCTTTGC